GATGCCAGGATTAAGATCATAAAATCTGTTCCTAAAAACATCCAACTATTTAAAAAGCTGTCCCACCAGATTCCCTGGAGGACAGAGTGCCTCCCTCCACCCTGAACTCCCTTAGTGGGTCTTGAAGGTCAACAGCTATGGCAGCATAGGGTTCAGTCTCCATAGAGGCAGATGCCTTTGTTGTTCAGGCGTTGGCAATGCTCTTGGTAAGTGCCAATTTATTGACAGCAGGCACCCTCCAAATGCAAGATGGCTAGTGTTCCTTGAAGTTCTGGGGCTGTCTAGATATCAGAGGAAAAGCAAAATATTCCTCATAGCACAGTTGCCGTGGATACTCACACAGAGAGAGATTTTAGGAGCCCTTGCTCTTCTCCCCCTGCCTATCTGCAGAAATGGCAGGAAGCAGGATTGCTATGACCTACCAAAGTATTGAAGGTTTCCATGACTCAAGAAATGGCCAGAAGAAGGACCACAGTTTTGGAACAGAGATGAGATGAAGATTTCGGGAGACAGAACCTGGCGAGGGGACAAGAAAGGAGAGGAAAGTGCTAATATGAAGAAGAAAAAGGGGGCTTGGGGGCACTCCTCACAGCGTGAGAGAATCTCCCTGTCCTCCCTCAGCTCCCCCTGCCTCCAGCTAAGGGATGGCACACATCTAGCTAAAGCGCGGGCGCCGGCCCGTGCGCTTCGCCACCAGTGCTTAGGATTGGATTCCATCGTGGTGAGTGTGAAGTCAAGAACCGGCTGAACCTTTCTCAAGGCTTCAGGAGGTGAACAACAGAACTATCACCCTATCATTAGCAGACATCTGGGGCACCTCTAGGCTTCCCCGCTGGCTCAGCAGTAAAGAATCTGCCTGCAATGAACGTGGGTTCGATCCCTATGTCAGGAAGATCCCCTGGAGGAGGTCAAGGCAACCCACTCCAGTATTCTTGCCTGGAGAATCCCTGGTGGGCTAGTTCAAAGGGTCACAAAGAGTTGGATACAACTGAAGCGGCTTAGCACGTGGCACTTTTAATGTGGGCAGTGGGCTGCAAAGAAAGCCCACTAGATGGGGCTGTCTAGATGTCCAGCTGGCTACCAGTAGGGTTGATTTCGCAGACCATTCCCTCCCCCAACTCCGCATACCACACACACACAAGTACACACACATACACACCCCCATCAGAATGAATAGTCCAGCATCAGTGTTACACATTGAAAGCAACTAGTGAGATGGTACATGGTAGGAAGGTATTGAGGCTTTCCAGGTGCCACTAGTGGTGAAGAACCTGCCTGCTGATGTACGAGACTTAAGAGATGTCAGTTCAATCCCTGGTGCAAGATGATTCCCTGGAGGAAGAAATGACAGCCCTCTCCAGTATTCTTGCCTGGAGAATCCCATGGACAGAGGAGCCTGGTGGGCTACAGCCCATAGGGTCACAAAGAGTCAGACACGACTGAACTGACTTAGTACACCTGCAGGAGCTTATTAGATTTTGAACTCATTGCTGTTAAAGGAAGAAACAAAACCAGTGGGAAGATCACAATACATGTAAAAAGTGTGGTGCCAAGTACTGCTAAAAGGCAAGACAAAAGAAAAAGCACCACGGAAGTTCACAAACTGGTTCAGATCACTGTCTGCTCCAAGGACAAGAGAGCCAGGAAGGAAACCTAGTGTCAGCCCCAGCCTAGAGTCAGGCCCAGGTAGCTGTGAAAAAATGTCATGTGCTCAGATAGAAACTGCTGGAGCTTGGAGAGTGATTTAGAACTATGGAACACCTGTTAGCATCAGCTAGAACATTCCAAGGAGCATAGTTTGGCGCAAAATCTTTGGTAGAGAATTCCTGTGTAATATTTTAACCCCTTTCTTCCTGCATTTCACCAAGATACCTATGAAGTATTGAAAAGGACAAAAGTGCACAATCTTAGTAAAAAGATGAAGGCTGAAAGACCGTCTACTCTGGGATCTGCATCTGCAAGGAATAGGAGAAAGTTGAATCTGGGATAAAAAACTCAGGTGGAAGAGTCGTTTTCTCATGCTCTGATAACTTCAGCAAATACTGACCAGCAGGACTTAGGCTGGTATAAATCTGAGACTAAAAGAAAGTTCAGCATCACCCAAAACAGCACTTCCAGGAAACTGAGTAAGCAGGTGCACTCCACAGATTTATCACAAAACAGAAACCCTTACAAACAACTCAGACCAAGAAAATGACACCCTGTAATGATCTCTTAGATTTTTCTCAGTTGCCATCCTCTTGTCTGCTTTGTCACCTGATGTTTTTTGACTGGTGTAATGTTTTTTCCTTAGCTTCCAATAAGGAGTTTTAAATAGTACTCAGTCTTCCTGTGGGTAACAAAATTTTAACTGTACCTTTAAATTTTAACAAGGTAATATCAATGTATTTTACAGCTCCTTTTCAAAAATGAAAAAGTGGAAGATTTTTTAATCATCTCATCAAGTTTAAACAGCTATTATTCCATGTTTTCATGGAACTCAGGATGTACCGAAGTACTGAATATACGCCCTGGAAGAGGACAGTACTTATATCCAAGAAAAACGATGGGTCATCTTCAGATTTCCTTCACTGGTTTGATTTACTCAGGTTCTCAGGTTACTCACCTGGCCCCATGTTTTTCTATGCATGGCAGTATTCTTTGTCTACTACTCCTTTTAAGCCAGCTCCTTGAAAATGTGCTTAGCTCATTTATTTTTATTCTTTAATAAGGTAAAAAATAGTCATTCGACGTTATGACTTTTCCTCTGAGTTTAGCTTTGACCATGTTTTCATTCGTTTTAAAATACTCTGTAATTACAGTTTTGGTTTTTCTCTCAGGTTTTTTATTTCGTGTGTGTGTGTGTGTGTGTGTGATTAAAAACAGTTTCAGAAAATATGGTTCATGTGGTTTCTACTTTGAGGAATTAATTGGATTTTATTTTTTGCTCTAATGTGTGAGTCATCTTTGCAAATGTTCAATGGATGCGGGCAGAAGAAAATAAAGTCATGTCCACAATCTATGAATCTCAATATGTATCTACTAAATAAATGCTTAAAGCATCCGAGTCATCCATGTTCTTCTTTATTTTTCAAATGTGTTTTGTCAAAGATGAGGAGGGACTGAACTGAGAAACCCCTTGCAAGGACCTCCAGTCACTTCTTTAGTACCAGCCCTTGGAGGAAAATCTCTCCAACATGGCTTCCTCTTCTACATTTGGGATGAATCACCAAAGTTATTTCCTAAGTAAACATTTATCTTTAACTCCCTGGAGAAAACAGTCAAGGAACCAGTGTTGAGTGAAGACATTCTGAAAATATTCTTGGAAAACTTCAATATTGGGTCAGGGAGGTTTTTTTTTAAATAATTTTATTTGTTTATTTTTGGCTGTGATGGGTCTTTGTCACTGTGCAGACTTTTCTCTCTAGTTGTGGGGAGCAGGGGCTACTCTGTAGTTGAGTTATGCGGATGGTTTCTCTTGTTGCGGAGCACAGCCTCTAGGCGCATGGCCCCAGTAGTCACGGCACATGGCCTCAGTAGTCACGGCACATGGCCCCAGCAGTCACGGCACATGGCCTCAGTAGTCACGGCGCATGGCCTCAGTACTTATGGCGCATGGACTCAGTAGTCACGGCACATGGCCTCAGTACTTACGGCACATGGCCTCAGTACTTACAGCACATGGACTCAGTAGTCACGGCACATGGCCTCAGTACTTACAGCACATGGCCTCAGTACTTACAGCACATGGACTCAGTAGTCACGGCACATGGCCTCAGTACTTACAGCACATGGCCTCAGTACTTACAGCACATGGACTCAGTAGTCACAGCACATGGACTCAGTAGTCACAGCACATGGACTCAGTAGTTGTGGCTCCCAGGCTCTAGAGCACAGGCTCAACAGTTGTGACGCACCAGTTTAGTTGCTCCACGGCATGTGGGATCGTCCTGGACCAGGGATCAAACCCATGTCTCCTGCATTGGCAGGCAGATTCCTTACCACTGAGCCACCAGCGAGGCCCAGGGTCAAGAAATTTTAACAAAAAATTACAGCAATCACTGTCGCATGAGAATCACATCACAACTCCAGTTTGTGCCACCTGCAAGACTGGTGGGGTCTTTTCAGAGTCAATCTCAAAGCCAGAATCATCTTCCTACAGCATCACTTTGATCCTGTTACCCTGTCTGCTTAAAACCCTCCAGTGACTTCCCAGGTTCTACAGAAGTGAGTCCAGTGACCCCAGAGCAAGCTCAGCACCTCTGAAGCTGAGTGGCCCTGGCCAGAACCACTGAGTTAGCATCTGTCACTTTGTGTTTGACTGGGGGTAATTTTTTTTTTTTACATTTATTTCAGTGAATAGACCCTAAACTCCTTGAGGGTAGAATGCCAGCTGGATTGCCTTGGAGAAGGAAATTCCTCTCATTGTGGTAAGTTCAGAGTTTCATGAGTATTGACATCATGAGAAAAATCCCCAAGCCCATCCGTCATGATCAGCACACAATCTATTAGCATATCCCAGCCATGGCAATAGATGAGCATGATGTCTGCCTGCGGCATGTTAAATCAGTCAGCAAAGTCCACCAAGACAGAGATCAGACTCAGAGCCTAGACTCGAGATGTGGTTTTGTCCTGTCCTTGGCAGGGAATGCAGTCCACGTCACAGGGTGAGGTAAATCCATCACCACCTCCAGGAAAACAACTCCAAGAGCACTGGCTGACATAGCTGCCTCCACAAGGCCCCTTTGTATACCTACCCCTTTCCATCTCTATTGCTTCTGGAGACAGCTCAGGTTGGGTAGGGAAATGGGGAGAAGAATAGGAATTGTTTGCATTCTATGATTTTAAAATCTCCAGTTGCAAGAGATGTTAAAAGTAAAATGTATTGGAATGGTGGTAATATGAAGAAATAGTATCATCGTGTTAGAAGCCTTGCAGTGAGTGTGAACAATAGCTGTGTTCACCAGAGCAATCAACTTCCCCTGTGCATCCCCTCTCCACATTTTACTATGAGAAAAATTCGGTCATGTACATTTTCTTAACTGAACTTTTTTGTTAAATAAACTTTTGTAATGGTCAAAAAAAAAGTAAAATGTATGGAGTAAGATCAGCTTATTCAGCAGACTGCTGATGTGAGTGAAATGCACACTTATTTGCTTATCAGTGTCTTCCTTTCAGGCCAAACACAAAATGATTTTTATTGTGCTTCTGACTTGAAACTTGGATAATTACAGCAAACAGATGACATCTGAAAAGTCATCTTTCCAGCATACATAGACAAGAAACAATGAGGGATTCTTGGTGATGGTTTAGTCTTGGAGAAATAGACATTATGCCCCTAAACCAGACAGGAGGAATGGAATGACCTGAAGGACCGTGATTTTACTTCACAAGCAAGCTTTCTTACATCATGCTTCGGGTTTCTCTTTAATGTTTGTATCCTTCAGATCCCTGGAGCTTCCTTCCCAGAGCTAGATGCAATTGGCTTCTCTTTTGCAAGAATTCATCTGTTACTAGTCTTTATTTAAAGGAGTAGAATCTGTTTCACAAATACACAAGAATAGTGACATTATTTGCTTTTTTATAAGCCTAAGTATAAAAATAATTTAATTATATATTATATTAATATTATGATTAATACTATTATACTAGTAAGAACTAATAATAATTGTGTACTCTAAAATATAATTGCTATAGTCCATAAAAGGCTGTTTTATGTTTACTTAGATTACCTCTTTGTTGCAAAAATAACATAAATAGTAAGTGCTAAATAATACAGCTGTTGACCTAGAAAGCAACTATTGGTGTTTCATAATATAGTGAGAAGAGCATGGATTTTTTTTTAATACTGCCTGGGTTAGAGCTCTGGTTTAGTTCCTGCCTAGCTTGTATTGTCATTGTCTTTGTTTAATAGCTAAGTCATGTTCAACTCTTTCACAATACCATGGACTATATAGCCTGCCAGGCTCCTCTGTCCATGGGATTTCCCAAGCAAGAATACTGGAGTGGGTTGCCATTTCCTCCTCCAAGGAGTCTTCCCGACCTAGGGACAGAACCCATGTCTCTGGCATTGCAGGTGGGTTCTTTACCACTAAGCCACCAGGCTTGTGACCATGCACAAATTACTTGACATTTCTGACCCTCAAAGATAATATTGGTAATACTCACCTGGAAGAATTACTGAGCAAATTAAAGGAGATGTTTATGTGAAAGTGTATAGTGTCGTGACTGGCACACAGAAGGCTCAACAATATTTACAGTTTTGTCCCCCAAGAGTGGTCTTACCCTCTTAAGAGGCTGTAGTCCAGTTGTAACCTGTTGACCAAAATGATTCTATCCTCGTCTATGGTAAATATTTTTGGAATACATTTGTTCAGTATGTGAACAGTTAAAAGTTAATAAGTCAACCTAGTATATACTGATCTCCTCTCATTCTCCACTTGTCTGGACACAGCTATAAACAGAACATGCCAAGGACTGGCCCATGCCCCTGTTGACTGACCACAGCCTCCTTCAAGAGCTATGGGTAAAATTCTTCATGCTTATATGGTCCCTATGACTAAAACACTCAAAGCATTTTTTTCTGGAGATTAAATCAGAGGTTTCATCTAACCCTAGTTAATAAATGTCAAGTCTCCAGTGTGAAACCTCTGAATAGCCTTTTGAGGAAGGTGGCTGACAACCTTATCTTCCCTACAAATAAACTGAGGCATGGGGGAACAAATCAGAGATTCTTCACTCTTATTTACTTTCAGTTTATATGTGAAGACCAGCCAGTGCTTCACGGAAATTCTCGGAGTGTCTGCAGGGATCCCCAGAGAGCATGTTTATAATTTCTTTGAGAAAGCTTACCATCTCCTAACATGATTAGGAGTCTTCTGGGACAGGATGAGGAGGGGCTGATGTCACTGCAGCACAGGGTGCGCTGATTGAGTAGAGAGTGTGAACGGTGGTCCAGTGGCTTAAGACTTCATCTTCCAACGCAGGAGGTGCAGGTTCGATCTTTGGGCAGGGAGCTAGAATCCCACATGCTTCACAGCCAAAAAGCCAAAACATAAAACAGAAACAATATTGTAACAGATTCAATAAAGACTTTACAAAATGGTCCACATCAAGAAAAAAATCTTAAAAAAAAAAAACCAGTCAGAGTTAATGACGTCGCACAGCTCATAAGCCAGAGCGCCAAAGGCTGTGGCGCCTGCCGTGGAGAACACAAAATCCCGCTTCGAGCTGAGTTTCTATGGCTACAGCCAGCCTCTTTCTACAGTCTCTTCTACAATCAGAAGAAAAAGAGCTCCAGAGGGGCTAAGAAGAGGGCCTTTATGCATCAAGAGGGGGAGACTACTCTGAGAAGGCGAAGTCCAACTTGCCAGCCTGGGACAGTGTCGGCAGCTATGACAACGAGAAGCAGAAAGGTTTCCAGCTTGCAGAGTAACCCTCTCCACCTCCAACTTGAACCTCCAGTGGACCCTGGGGGACCACCACCCTTATTCCTGGTTTTCTCAGACTAGAAACCTTCTGCCTCTGTCTTCTCAGCCACACCAATACTTAACATTTATTACCATGCTACACACTCAGCCTCTTAACATTCCTGGAGCCTTCATGGGCTTTGCGCTGTGACCACATAGCTAAGCTGGAACTACATCTCCCAGACTTCCCTTTCCTGAGAGGCTCCAGGTCAGTGTAGGTCACAACAGAAATTCTGCATGAGACATGAAATATGGAAGTGAGGCAGTCACCATAGTTTTTATGCTCCAAAGGTCAGTATGAGGCACTGGACACTATGGCAGCTGTCTCACGTGGTCATTGTCATTTCCTCCAACTCTTGCTGTTTCCTCCTGCAGCTTCTCCCCAGGCATCCATGGCTCTTGGCGAAGGGAACCAGCTTCTCCTGCATGTCAGCCATGGCACTGAGTTTGTGGGTGGGGAGAGACAGACATGGCTTCCAGTTCATTCTCCTGGCTTTGTTTGTCTTTGTTCTCAACCACACCCAGTTCTCCCATCTTACTGCCAACCTGCTTTACTAAAGCTACTTGAAGCTCAGCGTTAGAAGAGGAGACCACAGCCTGGCAGATTCCTCTGTTGTTTTATACAATTGCACCTTTCAATCTTTATAATCACTTTGTCTTCTATGTAACTTAAAGTAGTTCTGCTTCTCTGACTGAACCTTGAGTGATACACATGGATTGTCTGTCTCACTTAATACTCACTAAAATGCTAGGAGATAGGAACTATTATTATTTCTGTTTCATTTGTGAAGAAACTGAGAAACAAAGAGAAAGAGACTCAGGTATAGTTCGTCTGGCCTTGTCCTGATCTACAGAGAACTACTTCTTAAAGTAACGGAGCTTACGCTCCCATATTAGCACTTGCCTAGCTCTTTAGGCCAGGTGACTTCCCTCAGTCCAGGACAGTTTTCCTGGTGTGAAACATTAGCATCCAATGTTCAGGGCAGCTGGGAAGATGGTCCACCCCCTCAGGGGATACTGGAGCAGTACCACAGTCACTTTGCAGGGTATTGTCTTGCTTGGCCTCATTTTTGTTCACCAAAACTCCATAAGCAGCAATGTTGGCAAGCCTTATTCCAGCATCTTCGGACATTTGAAAAGCCCTTTCGAAAGAGTTCTACACAGAACTAGTCTCCAAAACCCCATTTCTGAAATGCATTCCAAAACAGAAACAGCATCGGCAATGCATAGTATAAATTATTGCTATCAGATCAGCCTTCAATATGCTAGAGGATCACCCTAGGACTCATCACTGAGAACTGGGAGTTAAGGAAAGGGAATCCAAGGGAAAATGGGGACAGGAGGCCAGACCCTGGCAATTCCAAAATGAGTCAGACTGTTATCAGAAAGATCATGTCTTCTGGATTCAGACAAATCTGACTACATTCCAAGGCTTGGAAAGTTTCTGATGCTCTCAGACCCGTAGTCTCCCTATTGGTTTAAATGCAAGAATAATATGTTTCTTAAATATCTGTCAGAGGAGAAAATGTTTCAAAAGGCCCATAATGCAGTGCCCATTGTGCACATAGCTCAATACATGGTATTTCATTATAAAGACACATATTTATGCTCCCCACTCCCGCTGGCTAAACTTTTTCATTCCCCAACTCCAAACAGCTGGATTGGATTTATCCCCTGAAGAGCCCAAACAAAAACCACAATACTAACTAAAAAAGCTATGGTCTAGAGCACAGTTAAGAAAAGTAGAGTTGCATTTTTTATTGAGCAGTTTTCTCTGTCTGAAACTTAATATTACAAGACACCAGACACTGAAGAAAGAGAGGAAGACAACCCACATCCTTTGAGCTATTCTGTAGATACTGAAACCCCCACCAGATGGAAGAAGTTAACTACATGAGGATCATGAGGAACTGTAGGCATGAAGTAAGCTGCCTCAATCCTGAGAATTGGCCCCAAACAAACGGGAACAAACCGACCCCAGAACTGAAGACTAACTGTACTTGAAACAATCAAGACCACACTGATCAGACCACCGATGGCCAGTATCAGGTTGACTGGCAGAGCTGACTGTGCTGTTTCTGCATGGGCCACCCCCCCCCCGCCCACTTCACCTATAAAAGCTCTTCTCTACCCCCCAGCTGGTTGCTAGCTTCCAAAATAAAGCTTTCCTTTCCACCAACCTTGCCTCTATATTGGCTTTTAAGCGGCAAACACCTGAACCCACTTTAGGTAAGCTTTTAGTGCCAGTGTGAGGCTGTGCTCTCGCGATATCTGGCTCCTGGGGGTTTTCCCCAAAGCAGAGCCGCCACCATGATGGCGTGCCCGGAAGGCTTCGAGGAGCCAATGCTCCCAGACAGGTGGTTTGGGACACTTCCCAGCAGCTGCTGAAACCATTTTGCGGGGAGACCCTCTCTGTCTCTCCCCTGCGCAGCACTGGCGGCAGTGTACGCTTTTCCTTGCTGGAACGGAATCATGCGTCTGGCCAAGCTGACAAGCCCCGTGACCCAGTAAGTTCGTCAAGACCCGGCTAACGTCTCTTTCAAGCACGAAGTGCTATTTGGGCATCTTTACTAACTGGTTCTGACATGAGTGTGATGTTGAGGACCGTTTATGCGCACTGTTATTTTGGTGTTTTGTCATTGGTTCTGGCGTGTCTCTGATTTTAAGGACTATTTGTGAGCACCTGCTCTCTGGGCACTTTTGCCAGTTGGTTCTGACGAGTCATGATGATCCATTTGTGTTGGGAAGTGTTCTGGGACTCAGTAGCAGTTGGGAGGATTTGTGGCAGTTCTGTCTTCTGCTGTGTTATATGTATTCCATTTGTGTGATTGGTACTCTTTCTGCCTTTTGTAAAATGGGAAATTCAGGCTCAGTTCATTACGAAAAATTTTATCTGTGAACCTGTGACTCAGAAAAAGAAAGATGATTTTTTTAAACCCTGTGTGGCCAACAGTATGCTTCAGACTCCCGAGAAAATTGGTTATAATGTATCACTGCTGGCTTTAAGTTTCCTGCTTGAAGCACATGTACCATCTTTGGGTGAAAATGGGGTATAAGCAATAAAATGTATAGCCTGTAAAATGTTTCCCTGTCAGCATAATCTCTATGCTTGTTACATCTGATTAGTTTTCCCCCAATGTGAAAGACTACATAAAATACATAAACAAAAATGTAGGCCCAGCATTGAGGGACATGAATGGACTCAGAGAAGGCAGGAATCAGGTCAGCTTTTACAAAAGAATGTATGTATATTTATTTATTTTTGGTTGCACTGGGTCTTTGTTCCACACACAGGCTTCCTCTGGTTGCAGCAAGTAGGGGCTACTCTTCGCTGTAGCTTCTCATGTGGGCACAGAAAGTTGCCCCACTGTGTGTGGGATCCTCCTGGTCCAGGAGTTGAACCTGTGTCCCCTGCATTGGCGGGCAGATTCTTAACCACTGGACTGCCAGGGAAGTCCCAGCTCAGCTTTATAACATGAGTTGTGAAGAGTTTTGAGTAAACCAAGATAGTGCTAAGTTGTTGTCCTTTCCATTGCCTTCTATAATTGCCAGTGGGCAACCCATTACTTCTTGTCATCTAGTGTGAGGTAATCCTAAGAGTCTCACCAGCTCCCATCCAAACAGTCCACACGGGCAACAACCAACTGGTGACCAGGGTCCCTCATAAGTCTTGTTCACCCCCATTCCCAACATGGACGGGGAGGATGGATACTAGGCCCTATGAAGGCATAAACAGACAATATGAGACACATTCCCCCACATCTTCTGTCTTGCCTACAGTTGGCCTTTTTGAATTTTATATTTATCCAACAAGGCTCCAAGAAGCATCAGATGCTATTAAAGGCTACACAAGTCTACCACCCAGCAGGAACTTGGCCAAGGTGCCAGTTCTATTCTGCCTACAGAGTTGTTTGGGAGAAAAGCAATGGGATGTAATAATTTACATTTGGGTTTTTCTTTTTATCGGTTTAGGATTTGGTGTCCCCTTCCATTTCTCCTCCCTCTCTTTTCCTCCCAGCTCCAATTAGAAAATTCCATTGTACAGAATTTCACTCCACGGGAACCTATATCAAATCTAGGAAGCCACTGGTTTATAAAGAACCCTCATTTCAAGAGAGTAGGACAGAGCGTGCCATGTAATCAAAGGCAATTAGAGACATTCACGCAACCGTGAATATTCAGCCTTTGCATACACAATTATGAAGGACTGTTAAGACAGCGTACCCACTATGGCACTGGATGGTTTCCAGAGGCACTTAAGGCGTAAGAAGGACTTATTTGGGGCTTGCAAACATGAGTTTTGTTTGTGTTTTTATGCATGTTTGGCAAATACAATGCAGGCTCTGCTTTCAGAACATTTGGCCCTAAATGAAAAGAAATGTGTCAGCAAATCCACCAAGAAGTACACCAAACCCAAAGCTGCTTCTGTTGGATCCAGAAAGAGGCTGAGGTAGTCGCTGTTTGCTTTCCAGCTAAAGGGAACATCTGGATGCAATTGCCAAGAGTTCTGGCTGCTTTGGCCACATCCAGCAGAGACACAGAAAGCTCCACCAGAAGCTCAATGCATTCGTTGTGAAGTTTCCCAGTGCTCTAGGCACACCCGGGGTCAGTCAGGAGGTTAAAAGGCTGTGTGAGCAGCATGAGCTCACCCTAGGTCTCTCAGTGGTCTCAGACCCTCGCTGTCTACGCCAGGACATTCACAGTACCACCCACATGTGTATTGGATTTCTTGGATGGGAGGAAGAAGAGCATGTTTCCACCATCTTTATTTAGTAAATAAGAGACAAGCCAAGACTTTACAGTCCATCTACTAGGCTGAAGTACCACCCCGCTTGCTCTGTGACTAAGCAAGTTATATAACTCTGGCTTCGCTCTCTTTACTGGTGAAACAAAAATGATAATAGTACCTGCCTCATGAAGCTTAAGATGGAGATTAGTCTGCCTCATGGAGATTTAAGATGACAGGTGTAAATGGCCATCCCAAGTAACCTCTGAAAGAATGTAGGCTGAAATAATTTTCTGACTTATTCTCTCTGTCCTCTCTGACTTCTATGCAGAAAAGTCTCCTCCGTTACAAAACTGAGAACGTGATCTGTGATTCATTCACCCTCACAGTTCACCATGTCTCCAGCGCCTTTAAATAACAAATTCTTTGAAAGAGGAATGTGTGGCCCTGCCCTCACTCCGATTCACATTCACCAGCTGCTCCCTCCCCCACAATAAGTGATCACCAACTCTTTGCAACCCCATGGACTACAGCACATTAGCCTCATGACATCCCCATAAGGGAGATTCTCTTAAAAGTTCCATTTTACAGAGGAGAAAACTGAATCTTAAAATGGTCAAATTAACTTTTCTAAGATTAAGGAAGTTTTGTTAAGGGAGATTTAAAATAAGGGAGACTTTTTAAGGGAGTATGTAAAAGACTTAGACACAAGAATGTTTTTATAGCACTTTTAAAAATATTTATTTGTGCTTATTAGAAGCTCTTTTTTTTTTTTAAATTTATTTGGCTGTACCGGGTCTCAGTTGAGGCATGCGGAATCTTTAGCTGCAGCATGCGAACTCTTAATTGCGGCATATGAGGTATTGTTCCCTGACCAGGGATCAAACCAAGTCCCCCTGTACGGGGAGCACAGTCTTAGCACTTAGCACTGGGCCACCAGGAAAGTCCCATGGCAGCACTGTTTTAATAAGGGAATTGTTTGCATAATAACATTGTGGTGGTGGTTTACTTGCTAAGTCATGTCCATCTCTTGCGACCCCATGGTCTTGCGAGCCCACCAGGCTCCTCTGTCCATGAGATTTTCCAGGCAAGAATACTGGAGAGGGTTGCCATTTCCTTCTCCACAGGATCTTCCCGACCCAGGAATCGAACCCAGGTCTCCTGCATTGCAGGCAGGTTCTTTCCCAACTGAGCTACAAGGGAAGCCCCAGTAATGTTGTAGACAAATCTAAATGTCCAATAGTAAAGAATGAATTAAGTTACAAGATACGCATATGACACTAAAGATGATCCTGTGGGTGTGTGGTTTGGAAATGAAAACCTGTTTGTTGTGTATTATGCAGTGAAAAATCAGGGCATAAAATAAATTAAGGCACAATCCCATATTTTAGTAACTATAAATATGCATTTTTAAATGATGAAAGAATATGCACACAGGTCTCACCAGTGATGTGCAGATTTGGTAAGGTTGTGGATGCTTCATTTATGTAAATCTTCTAATAAGAAGATACAGGTTTTTTTTATAAGATAAAAGTTATATTAGTTTTAATAAAGAAGAATGGAGGATTATCTGACCATTGAGGTCAGATCTATGGAGTGTGCTTAATTCCATGTACATCAACTGCAAAGCCCCCAGGGCTAGAGGAATTAGGGTGATCCAGCATCTCCCAAAAGTGTGTTGCTTTAAAAAAATTTTTAAAAGGAGATACATGGTCAAATAAATCAGAAAGTTTTGTCTACTCTCAAAGATTCACAATGCATAAATTCTGTTAACAAAGAAAAGAATGAAAAACCTATTTTACTTAGAGTAACCCAGCCTTTTCCATTCTTGAAAGAAAATGAAAATCGCTCAGTTGTGTCCAACTCTGTGCGACCCCATAGACTGTAGCCTACTAGGCTCCTCTGTCCATGGGATTTCCCAGGCAAGAATACTGGAGTGGGTTGCCATTTCCTTCTCCAGGGCATCTTCCCAACCCAGGGATCAAACTCAGGTCTCCTTCATTGCAAGCAGACTCTTAACCATCTGAGCTACCAGTCTCACTTTATCACAAAGCTTCTTTACACATGATTCATTTATGGATAAGGAAACGCTCATACAACCTTGCAGGTGCTACTGTTATTTCTCCCTCTGCCCGGTGCTAATACTCTCCCTTTTTAAAAATTGTTTTTTTTTTAATGTATTTATTTATTTGGCTGTGCCAGGTCTTAGCTAAGACATGTGGGATCTAGTCCCCTGACCAGGGATCAAACCCAGGTGCCCTGCTTTGGGAGCTCGGGGTCTTAGCCACTGGACCACCAAGGAGTCCCTATTCTCCCTTCTTTACAGGTGCTATGACCAAGAGAGTACCCCCAGACAACCTACTTTCAAATCACCACCTCAGAGTCACTCCCAGACAATGGCATTTGAAAGGACTAAATAAAAAGAAGAAAAGACAGGTATGACAAGTTAAGAGAACTAAGAATCATGCTTGTTTTCTATTCTTATGTGCTGTAAAAAATCAAAATTTAAAAAAAAATTTTTTTAGCAAGATAGCAACCTTAAAATGCTATGAGAAGAAATGACATAAACTGATTACAGAAGTAGATTAGGACTGTTCTCCCAGT